GCTGCCCCCGCCCCCCCCTCCCCCCAGCCACTTTGTGCCCACTTCTCATGTTGCCTTCCATATGGCGGCAGCTTGGAGATCCGCCCGTGGCCCCCCAGAGGACGCTGGGATGAAGGACCCGGTGTCGGTAGCCTCCGTGGCCCCCTCCTGAGAGGCATAGTGCCGGACTGGGCCGGGCCAAGGCTGGGGGGGGGTATAGCTGTGCGCTTCTTTGGTCCAGTCCTTCTCGGAACCTCTGGTTTACGGCGCTGCTTACGAACCGGAATAAATGGGCCAGGCTTGTGAATGACTGGCGTGATAAAAATAGCCTGTTAAAAGGCTCTGCAGATGATTCATTCACTTTTATTGGCTTTCTTTTTTTTCCAGGCCCTAATTTGAAGACATTATGCAAAATAGCCGTTATTCAGTACAGCCTCGATCAGTCGGCTCTGCCACATGACATCCGGTAAGATGGACGCGCCCGCGAGCTCTGCCCTTAAACTTCATTGCCCTTTTACATCCCAGCTACGGCTTTATTTATCTCAGTGGGTCCTTCTGTAATGTGATGATGTTGAGGCTCGATGTCTGATGCTGAAGTACAAGCGGACATCTTACGCCACTCGGGGGCACTTTGAGTGTCCAAAGCGAAAGGATGGTGACCTGCCCCCACCTGAGCCCGCAGCGGGGTAACACCAGGCCTGCTGCTCAGTGCCCACTTTGCCAGGGGGCTGGGACCCATCCTGCTAACCCTGGTGGGGAGAGAGAGAGAGACTCCTCGCCTTCCTGGCCTGGGGGGGGCTGCCCTCTTCGCAGACAGATAGCAAAGCAAACAGGTCCACTGACGTGATACAGCACCAGCGTCATAAATCTGCCAGTTATCTGTGTGTGTGTGTGTGTGTGTGTGTGTGTGTGTGTGTGTGTGTTTGCAGGGTGCTTCTCGTAGGACCTCCATGGTGTTGATGTTGATAAACACACGCACGTGCTGTCAGGAACGCCCTCCAGATGTTGCTCTCCAACCTGTTTCATAATTGAATGTCCTGGTTTTGCAGCGACACTCACCGGGGCTGTGTGACGGTGTCGGCCCCCCCAGCTTGGCGTGGGGCGGAGCTGTAAATAAGGATCCTCCTCTCATCCCCTGCTCCTTCCCCAGGTGGGAGCTGACGGCCATGACCACCAACAGCAACATCAGCAGACCCATCTTCTCGTCCCACGGCTGAGCGGCCCGACCCGACCCGCACCTCAGGTTCTGGCAGGACGAGGCCCGTCTGCGTGCCGCATGGAGCTTGTCCCTTTTTTATTTTTATTCTTAGATTTTTTTTTGTTCACTTCACATCCGCTGTTTCTAGTTTGCGGGTCTTTGGGATCAGTAGGGTGTTGCAGAACCCTTCAGTATTTCCTGTCCCCCTTCAGAGAACACCGGGCTTGGGATGTAGGTGGACGTGCTTCATGTCGTTCTGTTCCTCATTCTCACACACGCCTGCAGATGTCTTTGGATGAAGTAGCCAGTGGATGTTTTATTTAATTTTTTTTTTAAAAGCAGCAAGGTGTGTTTTGAATGGCCAGGTATGAGTTCATCAGGCAGCGCACAGAAAACACCACCCTCTTCCTGTCCAGTAGCTGTACACGTTCCACCGCACCGTGATTTTCCATTTCTGGAGGCTGCTGCCCTCAGCGAGACGTTCTTCCAAACTGTGTTACCCTTGTGCGCCGTCTGCAGCACCGGGATACAGACGCTACTCCGTCCTCCGCAGAGGGGGAGTGCCGAACGTGAGACTGGTACCGTCCAGCTGTTGCTTCTGGAGCCTGAGCCTTTGTCTCCGAACCTGTTACCTCTACCAGGACGCGGTAGCCACCGGTGAGCAGGAGGGGACCCCCCCCCCCCCCCCTTTGAATTGGACGTGGAGACCTTGCACCGCGTCTTCCTGCAAGACAGCAGGTGCCACAGGATCCTGGCTCCGCCCCCCTTACCTCCCGAAGCCGAAGACCCTCATATGGAGGCAGAGTCATGCGAGCGCGCCATGACAACCTGCCGCCATGACAACCTGCCGCCATGACAACCTGCCGCCATGACAACCTGCCGCCATGTCAACCTGCCGCCGCTGCCTTTGAAGGCGCCGGGTGGCCATGTCTATCACCCGCCTCGTTTTCCTGCTTCATTGCGGCAAATCGTGTTTTGGTTCTGCGGTTACCGTGGCGACCTTCTCCTGTGCTGGTGTTCTTTCTTGTCTGCTTATTATTTAATTTTCTTTTTCCCCGCGACCCATGGTCTGGCATGTATTGACTCAAACCATGGTCCGCACTTCACATGTAAATCCATTTATTTTGCCTTTGTATCCCCCCCCCTCCCACTTAGACAGACTGTATTCTCTGTCCAAACAAAAGTGATTTGCGATTAATCTCCTGCTCTGATTTCGATCTTGGAAACACATTTCAGCCAAACACATGAGGCAGGTCCAGCATCAGGAGGATGAGGACTGGCTGCACACCACTGAGTCCTCGGGTGAGCATGCCATGAACCCGGAGACCCACGTTTCTCAACGATTTGCTCCCTAGTAGTGGCGCCCCCTACAGACCATAGTGTCCCACCGCGATGGACCGGCCGCCCGGGCCAGGTGGATTGGGCAGCAGGAACATCGAGTAACCCTTCCTCCTAAGAATGAGCGGAGCGTTTGGACCCCGCTCAAGTCGTCCAGGCGGTTGGCATGCTGTTTTTTTCTTTTCTTTTTTTTTTTAATTTAATCCCCCTCTCCTCCCCATTTTAATCCTTATCCCCTGAAATTTGTAGTGTGTGTTTTGTACCTCTGTGAGTATGTTAACCAACTGGTGCTCGGCAACTTCGAAACATTTTTGTTCAGGAAAATGTGTGGGGTGAATTTGTTAAAGATTTATTGTCATATGTGAATTTAGTAATGACTCTTTAACCACAGACAGGCATTAACAGTACTTGGGCAGGAAGTGGGCGGTATTCTGTAGTCCCACAGGGTCTCGGTGTGCGGTCACAGGCTTTTTGCTCTACATTTATATAATAAAAATGAGATATGCCCCACCAAGATTGAATAAAACTTTTATTGTGCAATATGCTCTTGAAATTGTGTCAATAAAATGGATGCGGTTTTATTTGCACTTTGGTGTGCGTTTACTTTTCCTCTAAAGGTACCATGTTTGGGAATGGGTGTGGGTGGCTGGGGGGGGGTATGTAGCACTGTTCCCACTGGGGCGGCGCTCATGAGCACACACCACAGTGGCTGGGGCCAGGCCATGGAAGTTAAAGGTTAAGTGGACGCCTGGGGTGCATCTTGACAGACCCCGTCTGTGAGGGGTCTCGTGTTACCCTCCCAAGTTGGCCAGGGGTCCAGCCTCTGTCAGCTTAATGGCTGGGTGTTGAATTGACACTAGCGGGTGGGGGGAAATTAGCGACAGGGTGGCTGGGCCAGAACGCGGCACCCTCAGGGGAAGCCGTTTAGCGGATTGGATAAAATCACTGCTGTATGGGTAAGTTATGGATTGTTGTGACCTGGAATTCCCACGACGGGTGGCCAGAGTCAAAACTGGACTCCGCGAGTGAGCAAGATGGAAGTCCAAAAGATTGTGATCGGCCTGCAGGATTCGACAGGCGGGACTCATCAAATGGAAGGCAGGCAATGGTCACGTCTCCGCCGGCTTTTGGCAAAGAGCACGGGCTGCGTCATGCTGGGGGGGCGGGGGTGGCGTGGATGGTCTGAGTGACGTTTCAAGTGTGGTAATAAATCAGGCTGGGTGGATGGCAGGGGATGCTGTCGTGGGGGGCCCAGGTGCGCAAGCCTGCTCTGTCCCCTTCGTTAATGCCCCAACTCACACCCTATGGGGGGCAGAATCCGGGCTGGTGCTGTCGTCTAAGCAAAATCTACATGTTAATGGGGAGGGGGCAAAATGTTCTCTGATAATTTAATTTGGCATGCAAATAGACTGTAGATAAACGGAAAAGCCCACCTTTAGGTCTTTTAGGTCTTTTCTGTTTTTTGTCTTGATGCCGCTGTACTACTTGTAAAGATAAACCTGGCCCTCTCCCCCAGGCTGACAGAGTACATCACTCCGCTTGCGCAACCTCTGTGCTGCCTCTCGCCAGAACCCCAGGTGTCCAGGCAGGTTGTAGGGGGCTGCATTATCTGACCCCGGGCCCCGAGGCAGCCATGCTGTCTGGCCATGCAGATTGGCACGGGCCCTGGCCTGCCCCTGGCGGGCCGAGCAGCCCCCGGATGGACCCCAGCCCCCGATCCAAGCGAGCCTAGAGCTGTCCCTCTCCGGCCCGGCAGTTTGCTCGTGTCTGTCACCAGACTCCCGCTATAAAGGTCCCGTTATCTGCGGCGTTAAGTGCAGGCTGCAGACGACGGGTCACCCAGGGACCGGCCGCAGAGACGTGCGGCCTGGCGCACAGGAAGCGGGTCCACTGCTGCCCCGTCTGGCCCCGGAGCAAAGGGGTCGGCTCAAGTGTTAATGCCAGGAGACGGCCCGCAAAACTGCCTGACAATTTCCCTTTTGGGTTAAATAACCATTAGAACTCTTGAAAGTCAATTTGCAGGCCTGGCCATTGTAGACACACGCTTCCAGTGTCCGCAAAAAGCCATTTATCTCTCACCCCACCCTAACCTTTTTCTCTCTCTTTCTCTTGATGTCTCATCTTTCATTTTTCTGTCTTCGGTCAGGCTTTCTGAAGAGCAGATAGTTTGGAGTGTTCCCCCCCACCATCTTCCCCCATGCTTTTCTGGGAATTGAAATTTTGATTGGTTGTCGAAAAATGATGGCGGTGAGTCGGGAAGGGCCCCGGCAATTCCGAGATGCTGTCTGGGTTTTCGCTGTGAATCAGTGCTTCAGAATCTGACTTTTAAATGCTGAAACCGACAGACCAACAATAAGACGATGTAGATGTGTAGATGATGTGTAGATTTGATAGTGCTTTTTGATCACTACTTTATTTTTCTTTATTCTGGTGTAATTTTAATACTAAAAAATACTTCTATGAAGAGGTGTACATATGCCAGGGGTGGCCAATCTTATCCAGAAAGGGCCGCTGTGTCTGCGGGTTTTCGCTGCAGCTCCCTAATTAGATTACTAATTAGAGGACTAATTGGCTGCGGAGTCCTCACACCTGGGTTTGAACAGTTGGCCTACAGGTTATCCCAAAGACCTGCATACACACCGGCCCTTTGCGGGTAAGATTGCCCACCCCTGACATACTGTATGCAATAGATGATCTTCCCTGGCAGACTTCATAAGCGAAAAGCTTATTAAATTACCTTTAAAATAACACTGTTCCTTGTAACAAAATAGCTTGTAACAAAGCTGCTTCAATCCTGTCATAACCTCATAAATGGTACTGATAACAATGAACATGTCTGTTACGTACATCAAATAAGCAACGTAACATAAAATTAAACCACTGCTCTAGCCCCATGACCCACACCAGCGTCCACCTGAGCTCCGATCCCAGCCGTGACGCCTTGGGCTCCTGTGGAGGCTCCCCTCTGCTACTCCTGAACTCCTCATCCTTGTCCTCACCTCACTCTGATATTTTACAGACCCCACCATCAGACCTGACTTCACCTGGCGGTGACCAGCCCGTCGACGCCACTGCCCGTTGAGGGCACTTGAAACAAACTTGACTGTGAGGATCCTATAAAGACTCATCCACAACCCCCCCCCTCGACACCCGAAATCACCACCTTTCTACAGGGAGGCTGAAGTGACTGGGGGTGCAGGTCTGATATGTGTGTCACCGGTGTCGATTGCAATTCATGTGGACCCTGAAGCGAGTTTAACCGCTGATGCCCCCAACCTGCCACCACAGAGGGGTGCAAGGAGCATGTAGACCATCAGAATATGCCGGCTATCTAGACCTCCTGATGGACTTACCAGCCCTGTGCGTGCTGTGATCCCTCTAAATCACTAATAAATCACATACTGGTATTACATCACCGCACCATTATCAGCTCCAGTGGCTAAGATTGCATGACATGAAAGACTCTTATCACAGATTCAGCAAATGGGACAGTTTCAGTTAGGGTAGATATACACCAGTGATCCGATGACATTACAAATTATAAGGCTAGGTATGACAGTAATGACAGCAATTTGCTTAATAACAGCGCTCAAATGCTGTGCCAAGCTATGAATGATTCATGATAAACTTGCAAATACGATTTTGTCGGACCGGAGAAGTCACAATGAGATTTAATAGAGGAATCTCGTGACGGTGTCTCTATCTCACTTATTGCCTATATAACGGATCTGCCCCGGGACGACTGGTTAAACATGATTTAAACCAGTAAGTAAAATTACTGCCTCCATTCTAAGGACAGAGTCAGAGGTCGTTAAGTTTGGAGCTAAATAATTTTATTCCATTATACAAACACACTCCGTGTATCAATGACACAAATTAAGTAGTTTAAATAATAGTAATAATAATAATAATAATAATAATAATAATAATAAAGCAGTGAATCATTTAGCCGTAGCATCCCATTCACTTAGGTCCATTTGCAAGATTTTTAACTACATTAACCCATTCATCAAGGTTTTGCCTCCTATCATATTATGCAAGCATGAAAAGTTGTTAAAGCACAAAATAATGGGCTAAATGATTTCATGAAATTGGACCCCCGGCAATAATATTGTTGTACTCGATACTCGCGTCCTTTTCACTCGTATGCATCTTGCGTGTCCGCTGTTTGTTTGCCTTAAGCCGACGAGCTAAAATGACTTGTTGTTTTAACTCTCATTCAGGGTTTACCGACGAGTTACCATGATTGATCATTCTTAATTTGTGTCCCTCTTTCGTACCTACGCGACATGCGGGCACTGCAGCTTCCTCCGGGCAGGTGAGGAGCTTTAAACTTGCGCCTGTTCATTTCTGGGTTTTCATTTTAACTGCATTTTGGATCCGACTGGACCGATTCTGCACACGTGATCAATGGTCATTTCATTACTGGAGCTGTATGCCCAATATGTTTCCGTAAGGGGAGGCGGGGGTTAGCGTCTGAGTGGAGTTATTTTTAGAGTCGGGATAACTAAAAATATCCCACCGTCAGTTGTCGTTACGTCACAAGAAGTAACATTAGGCGCTTTTTTTCTTACGCACCGCCAGATTTTAAAACAAAGGTATCAGGTTAATCCTGAGCCTGCCTATAAAAGGGAGGAGACAACGGAGGCAGGACAGAGAGGCATCGGGCAGCCTTCCTGTGAAGGTAAGGGACTTCGCGCTCTGCTGCATGCTGCATGCTGATGCGTATTAACTGATTGTCGGATACAGCTATGTAGGTTGTTATAATTATATTTTTGATGCTCAGTAGTTTTTATTAGTTAAGGGGGCTAATTCAATGTAATGTGTGTTTTTTTCCTGTGCAAAAGAAAACATTTTAAAAATGCAACAGATATTACAACAGTGAATGGTTTTTCATTTTATGCGAGGGAATGTTTTCTTATTTGTCCTATTGATCTTTTTTCACTTTGGTGCTTAAAGGAAATCAGAGAGAGGGAGACAGAGAGAGAGTGAAAATGACGGTGTGCTGCGAGTCCTGCCATAGTCCGATCGGCGATATGCCCGGACCGGCGCACTGCTCGTCCCGGTGCTACACCGCGACCCAGAGAGTCTCCTGCAAGCGCTTTCGGTGAGTCCGGGAGAAACGGCACGGCGGCTCCGCTTCATGATAGAGGCTCCCCCTAGTGGCGTGCCGGAACCGCCCGTTTAAAACCGCACCGTTCTAATGTAAAAAGTTATAACTGATTTCTATTGCTTTTTTTAAAGTGGGTGTTTAGATTTTGTATCAGATCTGGTGTTTAAACGTTCGTGTACACCCCACCAAGGTGGTACAACGCTATCAAAATCTCGACTTGGATCACGAACTGAAGATTCTTGTTTTCAGTGACTCATGGACTATTTCTAATATGACTTTTGACTTTTTCATATCAGCCCCGACGACTTAAATAGCGGTAATTTGTGCCTGAAAATAAGAGAGCTAGAGACTGTGGGCATATGCTGTATTGGACCGCTTAGATGAGTGATTTGAAAATCACTGTGACTCAGTGCTGTTCCTCTCCTGGGCAAAACCGGGAAGCGTGGGTCACTTGGACGAGGGGGACTTGGAGGTGCGTCATTGCATCGTAAATGTGACGTAGGGTCCGGGGCGCCTTTTAAGGGGATGCAAGAGCGACACCAGTGACGCCCACTCACAGCGTCCGTTACATAAAGCCAGCGCCCTCTGACAGTGCTGGCCACATCAGTGTGAGTCTGGGGGCCTCCTGGCTTGTAAGGTGTCCTAAGGATCCAGAGCCACCCCATTTTTTTTGTACCAACAACAATATTTCAGCCCAGCCTGGGGTTGTGGGATGCAAGCCCGCTTTCCTGGAGCGACTTCCAGGAGGAATAGATGTTTGTGTCAGTCCTGGGGGAGCGAGTGGCCTGTCCTGGGAGTGGGTGGCACCTCCTTCTCGTCTGACGTGATAGCATTAGCGGTACGAGTCCCTCGGGCATCACGTGACATGCTGGTCTCTCACAGGTCCACCAAGGGGGCATCGAAGGCCCGTCGCGACCACATCAACTGCGAGATTCGGAGCATGCGGGCCCTCCTGCCCATCCCGCTGGAGGACCAGGAGCGCCTTTCCTACCTACACTCCATGTCGGCCATCTGTACCTTCATCCGGAAGTCCATCTTCTTCCGAGGTACGCTGAGCCTCCTGCAAGCTGCGTCATGTTGCCTGAGCGCCATCCATGGGCTCAGCTAATTCTTCAGGTTCTTGTACTCATCAGAGCTGCAGCCAGATGGGTCCAGCTGTTTCCTGCCCTATGAGGACTTCCTGCAAGCCTTGCCTGGCTTCATACTGGTCACCTCCAGAGAGGGGAAGCTGATTTATGTGTCTGAGAATGTGGCCGATTACCTGGGATACTCAATGGTAGGTGGACCAAATGGCGGTTAAACAATCTCAAATACCTTTATTTAGACTTAATTAAATTAAAATTTTAGTGTAATGACTCTGAGGCTGAATAATCAATGTAATTCACATGTGGTCTTTGCTTGGGACTTACATGTTTTCATTTTCCCTTAAGGTGGATGTGCTTCAGGGAGATGCTATCTACGACATGGTGGACAACGCAGATGTGGAGATTGTGAAATCTAACCTGGAGACTGAGGGCCTGCCAGCAAAAGGTAACATAAACCCCCAGGAAAAGCAGGCAACACTTTATAATTATCAAGCTAATGTTTTCAAAGCCTAAAGCACATTGCATTGCTAGCAAGTTACTGTTTATTAAACCAGCAATCAGTGGGTTAAACTCCCATGTTCTGAAAGGCAATTTAAGCAGAGTTGAAATCCTAGGAGCAACAGAGTACAGAATAGTAATATAATAGATAGCAACAATGTAATAGATAAATAGCAACAATGTAACAGATAGTAACAATGTAATAGATAAATAGCAACAATGTAACAGTAACAACCACATTCTGACGGTGTTTGTTGGGTATATCATGTCTGCCTGCTTGCTATGAATGTCATGATCACTGCACTGCATCAACACCCCCTCATCACCACGGCGATGTCTCCTGTCCCCAGCAGAGAGGACCTTTGTGTGCCGCATGCTGATGTCCAAGGCGTTCCGGCTCCGGCACGGCAGCAGCTGCTCCATGCTGGTCCGAGGCCGCTTCCAGGCGGCTCCCCGCGCTTCCCCATCAGGCCAGGAGCCTGACCTGGCCTTCGTGGCCCTCTGCACCCCCACAGCGGATCGCTGGCGGGACGGTAACCCCCGCTGTTCCGCGGAGCCCTTCCGGACACTCCACGGGCCTGACATGTCCTTCGCCTACGCGCCTGAGAGGTGAGCATCGCACACAGCATCCCGGGCGGATGCACGACGGAATCAGACACTGCAGTTTGCAGCCTGGATCCTGGTTGTATTAATTTAAACATTCCTCCCACCATTTCTACAGCCTGCTGTTTCACCTGGGCTACTCAGCGGGTGAGGTGATTGGTCGATCCTGGTACAGCCTGCTTCATCCAGATGATCTTTCCTCATGTGCATCAAAACACAAGAGTCTGTGTAAGTACTATTATCTGACTACTGTACTGCGGAAAGAAACTGAGAAAAAACAACAGTCTAACTAACTACATCATCTGACAGCCATATTGTGGTTACAACGTTTATTTAGTGTGTAGCAATAAGGGTGCATATGGATGACAGGTTGAAATGTTTTCCTGTTCATTATGCAGTGGAAGGAGATGAAGGCACATTGGTCGAGATGGTCCTCAGACTACAACACAAGAACCTCTACTGGGTGTGGCTATATGTTCGAGCTACAAAGGATTCTGGGAAACAGGAAGTGAGCTGCATGAACTATATTGTCAGGTAAGAAAGACGTAACTGAGTATGAAAAGGTAACAGTTGTATCGTACTGCGATGAAGGTGAGTGGTGGATTCATCAGTTGTTCTAAAATTTGTTTTTAGCGAAACAGAGGCCAGCTTCCTGAAGCAGAGGATCTACAGCGATGCCTCCATCACCTCGACCCCCCTCCTTCCAAAACAGCCTCAGCCATCGCACTCCGACGCCCCCCAGTGTCATGGAAATGGCGTCACCAAGGTCCTCAAGAGGGAGAGGGAGGCTTGCTGCGTGACAGAGGAGCCCCAGCCAAAGACGAGCCGCGTCTCTGAAACCAACACCGGCTACCTGATCTGCACCAATCCGGCAGAAGACGGCAGCCAGCAGGGGGTGCTGACGAGCAGCACTGTGTTCCCCGCCACGCCTCCCTACAGCCCAGCATCGTCCCACTCTCCAGCCACGCAGGAGGACTGTCCGTCCGACTTCCTCCTGGACGCATACAGCTACGCCGAGACCCTGCTCTCCTCTCCGGAGAGCTCTCCTCCCTACCTCTCCGGCCAGAACACTTTTTCCGGGGTATCGGACTGCTTCCCTGCCTCAGATCCTCTCCAGGCTGCAATGGATCCCACATTTGGCCTCCACCATTTTGCTGTGGCTCAGTCGCCTGAGTCCTGCCCATCTCCATCCTATGAGTTTCCCAGCTGCCCCGTGGGAAGTCACCTGGTCCCAGACGGTCTACAGGGGCTGGATGTGGCTGACGGCTCGTCGGACTGTGCCTTTCATCCTGACGACCTCGGGCTCTCCACCCCGCCACCAGGGGGAGACAGCCCTTTCCTAGTCCGTCAGGATGTCTCAGACACCCCTGTGCTGACCCCTGATCCCTCGCCCGCGACTGAGTGCCGTTTCCAGTACAGTGAGCGGGAGAGGGCCGAAATTAGCATCCTGGCCCAGCAGATCTCCTCGCTGGCTAACAGCTTTGACACATACCGTAGTATGGGTCTGGCCCCTGGAAACGGTAAGCCCACCCCCCTCAGCGAAGGCCCAGTACCCCCCTGCGACTGCCCAGATGTGTGCTCACACCCATCCAGACTCGAGCTGATCTTGGATGAAGGTGTCATCTACAGCATCTTACAAGACCTAGACACCGAAGAGGGGCACGTGGAGGACGGGGAGCAGTCCCTGGATGCCTCGATCTCCCAGGCGTCTGCAGCCCTGTTTACCGCCCTGGTGTGGGAACCCTCCCTGGACCAGTTTCCCAGCATGCACCCTGCACTGGATCCCTGCCTGGTGAGGCCCGGATGCCAAGAGGATGGAAATGAGTTGCATCAACTCAGCCGCTACCTGCATAGTAGCCTCCAGCAAGGTCGGTAAATACACCTGACATGAACATTCTCGTATTTCTTCTTATTGTAGTCGTGGTGACAGTAGCTCCTGTGTTTCAAGGTTCTCATGGTCTTCTCCTACATCTCCTTGCAGATGAGCTTGCTGAAGAATCCATGTACTGAAATAAGTCCGTGACTTACCCTACGACTGTGTATGGCATATTGTCATAGCAACCACCGGCATCTTTTCCGGATCCAGAGGGGGACTTTGCCGAGAACTCTCTCTGTCTGACTGGATCTCCAGCAGAACTGGCTTTCGGCTCGCAACTCCCAACAATCACAGAAAAGGCAAGAAAATGAGCCATAATTGATGAAACATGACATCATTTAGCTTCGTATTTCATGGACCAAACCTGTAGTGATAGCGCAATTTGTAGAAGCATTTTGTATGATATTATTTTTATATGATTAGGGTTGCTGTTCTTTATGCTGTATCTCCTGTACTGAAGTCACATGCTACTCATGAACTGGTGTGTTTTATATCACTGGCCGGACAGCGAAGGGAATTTTATGAGCACTTAGTCTGTTTTCATGTCAAGTTGGAGAAAGACACGTTTACTTCATGTTTGCGAAAGAAAAAATAAAACTCAACTGGTACAAAATGGACACTGATCGTCCAAATCTGGTTCTGATATTTCCAAGAATAAAAAATAAGGACAGAAACTAAATGTAATGAAATGCATCTCAAACCTACTACCTCCTCGGCGTGTTCAAAATGAAAGAAGAATGGTTTCATTTTGCTTTAAGTGCGACTGCTGTATATTTATTGCCGTGTTTTAACGTTAAGCTGTAGACCCTGGACCTCACGTGCCTTCTGGACAGTATCTTTTTATTCTGGTGTCAGTCTGGAACTGCATTGCTGTGTGTGACTAAGTCTCTCTGCGACTGACAGCAATAAACGTGAGAGATTTAAGCCGGGACACATGTATTCTACACCAGCCTCACAGTGTGTGTTGACAGTTTGTCGTATTTGATAGTATACAGTATGTTGGTTTTGACATTTGTAAATGAGTTCATTTTGTCCATTTCGTCCATTCTCTTTTTTTCTCATTTTCTGTTTTATATTTTTGTACTTAAAACATGGTTAATAAAAGTAATTAATATTACAATGGCCAGGTGGAGTACTTTATTACATTTTTATGTATTTATTTGTATCATTCAATTTAAGATGCAACAATTAACCTCGGGTCATACCGCTAGATACAGAAATAACAAATGAAACACTAAAGCAGGGGTGGCCAATCTTATCCACACAGGGCCGCTGTGTCTGCGGGTTTTCACTGCAACTCCCTAATTAGATTACTAATTAGAGGACTGATTGGCTGAAGAGTCCTCACACCTGGGTTATCCCAAAAACCTGCATACACACCGGCCCTTTGCGGATAAGATTGGCCACTGCTGCACTAAAGCCAAAACAGAAAGCTAAAGACACCCATACAGATGAAGGGTCATTAAAAATAATATAATCACCTTAGATCTACCAGGAGGGAGAATTACAAAATTAGGCAGTCTAGTCTGCCGGTTTCAGCACCGGACAGCTCCCGAGCATAGAATCTCGCACATCAGCGCCACCTACTGTGTTATAGCAGTAATATTTTAGCGTCGTTCCTTAATTCACATACTTAACCAAACTTCTCTGTCATTTCAAAATCACAATTACCGAAATCATTGCTTTCTATGTTACGATTTCATTAAAATGGCACAAAACTAATAAGTCCAGTTATGAATTGTTGTACCTTAAAAATGAACATTTTATTTAACAAAAGAGTGCAGTGTATTGCCTTCGGTGGACAGACAAAACAAATGCGACAACTTTCATGTAACTGCCTCAATTAAATAGTTACTGACTCCTTCACCAAACATGTTTATCCCTTTTTTTCACTCCACACAAAAAAGAAGCTTATTTGATTCGGTGTCAATCTGTTTTATACAGCCTGAAACTCTTTAATCTACATGCCCACGCGGGACAGCTCCGCCTGCTGTAATAAAGAGCTTGCTACCCCCACCCCGAGACCCCCTCAAATGCTACACTCCTTGTATGAGCTTCACTCCCCAAAAGAATAATTGCCGGAAATGCGTTTTTTTCCCCTTGTAAATGCTGTATGTGGAAACCGAGATAAAAACAGCCTTTTTTGGGATGTATAATCCCCAGTTGTGGGTTACTGAAATCCTGTTATTTGACGTTGGTAAACTATATTGTATGAAAAAACGTTATTGTGTTAGGCAATTTAAAGCCTTCTTACTGCAAAACTGGGTTATTTCAGTTTGATTCAAATAGTACAAAAACAGTTTTACATTTTGCAATAAACTGAATTTTCTCAGAGTCTGAACAGCCCGAATACAAATCATCCAATTTTGACTAATTAGTTCGTTCCCCGCTGTAAATTTGATGGTGGGGGAAACTTGAGGATCGCGATACTGCTGGACTTCCCCGTTGCGCGCCTGTTTATTTTTCGTTTCTTTAACAACTGCTTCGTCGCTGTTAATTTTGTCTAATTTCTTTAGCAGCTTCATTTATTGCCTTATTTAAACTCATGCGAAGATAATCTTGATGTACAGCGTTTCCACTCTTCGTGCCAAATTCTCTAGAACTCACTGGGACGGGAAAACTGGACCAAATTATAACGGCGACGGACGATTTTGATGAGCTTTACCACTTAAGGAACCATTTAAAGAAGACTAATAAGTTCCTCCTCAAGGATGTGTTAGCTGAGATCATTTAGAGTCTAATGCTCATTTACGACACTTTCCTTAGGGCATCTGTGCACTTTTACGTACCTACAAAAGAGAGCGGATGCAATTTAGATTCAGATTTAAGGCCCAGAAAAAGTGAAAGGCACTGACTCTGCCTTCCGAGTGTCCACCAACTGTCTTACCTACTTCTCCTCGCTTGAGAACTGTACTAATCGTATCTAAGTCTATGCCTGTATAAATTATAGTTATGCATGTACGCGTGATTCTGTGTGGTGACTGTGTGAAAAATTGCGGGATATGGAGCTCAGTGTGTGGGAGATTGTAGTGATTTTCAGCACATCAAGAATGCCATCGCCTTGACGGGTAGTTATTTTGGTAGCAGTTTTATAATGAATTTAAAGAGCACTAGCCTACTAACGCTGATTAGCCTGTCTCGTTACATTGGTGCTGTACCTGTCCTTTCCAGCAGGGGGACCAGTGCTCAATTTCTACACATAACATAAAATGTATATTATTTTAAAATTTATGTGAGTTCTCTGAATAGTAGTATATTTCCGGCATTGTTTTGCAGGAAAGGAGAGAGTCTTCAGCGTGGGAAAGTAAAACGACAATAAAACTGGCCACTGCAGGGAAATAACCTTATGATTTAGTTTAATAAATAAAGTCTGTCTCTTTCAGTGTCCTCTGAAATAGATTCCACCAACCATAACCGTAATACTAGCAGTTCCTTATCAGCTGACTGTCTGATACAACGTAATAAGATAAGCCGCCCCCCGTTCAGTAGAGACTTGATAATCAGCACAATGCATTTGTAAGTCCCTGAGGAGCATCTGCGCCGCAGTCGACAGCAGCACCGGCGCCACACGCGTGCACTTGGGGCGACCCAGAAGGTTATCAGCGCTGAATTACCCAATTCGGGGGGAGGGGGGTTCCCGCTGCGCCGCTGCTTTCCTCACACCGATTCCCGAAGATCTAGGCTGCTATAATGACGCTCGATTTGTATACACACGGGCATGTGGGAATTAGTTAAGTATAGAGATAAAAGCAGTGCTTTCTTTAGATAGTTAAGGCACGGCAACAAGTTCATCGGTTTCTCCTTTTACACTAACGTAGAATTACCAAATGTGGCCACCAGGTGGTGCTATTGTATAAATACAAACGGGAATATTTGCTTTTATGGAAACTTGGGGCGCACGACGCATTTGTTCTAATAATTATATCTTGTCATTCATTTAATTTGGGACAAAATCATAGGGCCTATTGTGGGGAATTAGCTGATGATGAGACCACAAAGTGCCGAATGATTTCAATGTAGATAGATCCAACCCCACATCACTTGATTTTAATTGTAATCGTGAGTCAGATGAAACGTTAATTTTGGTAATCAAGAGGGAACCTGTGGATTCGTCTAGTATGGCGAGTCGTCGCATGCTGAGGCATGACTTCGCTGTCCCGTTAAACTTTAATTCGTTTAATGATACATTCAGCGATGGAAGCATTTCCAAGAGGACGCGGGCGCCGACGCCGCCAATTCTGAGTTCACTTCGCTGTGTTGAGACCTGTATCGACTTTATTTCCAGCTTTGAATTGCTGATGTGACATGCTGCACCACTCTTAAGGAGTGGCCTAGTGTTGTTTTTAAAAGTACCATATTATTGCCGTTGATGATGGTGAGGATGATGATCAATAAAGCGTAAAATACTCTTTACACTCGCATAATCGCTTTTGCCAGATCACGGTCACTTGAAGGACTTATCCGGCTCAAACCTTTTCCTTAAATGTGCACGGGCAGCGACTAAGCATTCCATTTATCGTAGGCCTATGAAAGGGACCCAGATCCAAAGACCGATTTGCTGTTATCAAGGACGCCAAATGCTTGTTTGCCGTTGCAATGTTTTAACAGATTTTTGGAAGGCTGTCTGCGTGAACTAGAATAGTACGAGAGGTAAGCAGGACACACCGTGTAACACTGATGTTCCAATGGAAAGTTTTGTACCTTAGAATGGAAACTTAATTCTGAAATTAACTTAAAACTAATGCCGTAATCGGATAGAATTTATGAAATGTCATGATTATAGGCCCTGTTAAATATTATCTCACAATAATACTGACTTATTGTGCTTACTCACAAACGCTATATTTTTTCAAATGCATTGAAAATAAGATAATTACAAACTACACTGTTTGTTTTAGCGAATGGATACGGTCACTGTTGGGATTTGCGTTGCTGCACTGAATTAATCATCACACAGTTACGTCTGACTGCCCGTCGTATTTCATTTTTTTCCCGGTGGATTAAGCACATAGGTAATAATTCCGGCTGCCATGACTTTGGATTAATTATACATCAATCTTCTGAATAATTGAGGAGAGATCCCCATGCCACAATCCTGCAAAGCAGAGCACGGATAGCCAGCTCTGATATTTAGGCATGAATACGAATGAATTAGCCGCAATGTGAGTCGCAGCGTGACATTTAACGTTCAGTAGTGATTAAGGCACCGAGAAAAAAAAAAAAGACAAAACACAACCGATTTGGGTTGTAATACATTGTCAGCAAATTACAGGCGCGACTTCAGCGCCCAGATGGCGGTGACACGTCGGGGGTTTTAATTAGGAGGCGCCCTCGCTGAATGCCGCCGTCGTAAATAAGGCTGTCTGACACGTCTTCAGCAATATGTCAGCCCGGGCAGCTGTTAGGCTGATATCTGGCGTGCATCGGTGGCTGTCACCTGAAGTAGCGATAATTTCCCCCTGCGCCGTGACAGCCGCGACTCGGGCGGCAGCAAATCCATCAAGCGCTGGAAAAGGATCAGGCTGCTCTAGGCGTTTACATGCCGATGGTATCGAGGCCAGCATAAGCTCTGAGATATAGGATGCCTAGGGAGCCCTTCCCCAAGACGCCGAAAACG